AACTAAATGAAGACATACAGGACCGGTAAAAAGACTTTTGTTTAAAATGCTCATGCTTAAATTAATTTCTAGACTAATTTAAATTGAGTCGACATATTATTTTCTTTACAAAAATATATTTTTTAGTGATTTTAATTGGTGCAAATAGTGAAAAGTATCTTCAACACTTCAGAAAAGCATTCCAGGATGTACCTCTATTTGTGTTATTTCATAGCATATTTTACTAATTTTCTCAAATGTGAAAATAAATAAATAAATTATGTGTCCACGCTGTTCTCTGATGCAGTACATGTAGTTAGGACAGTTTAGACATTTCTATTTCCAGTCACTGAACAGTACAGGTTGTGATCCATCCCTGCTTCCTGCTTCAGACACATCACAGTTTTATATCACAAATGCTTGTTTTGCTTTCTCTGCTTTGTTTTGGGCTCCTACGGGGTGATTCATGCCCCAGTGTGGACGTGTGAGGTTGGAAAAAAAGCCGTGTGAGCAAGCGTCCTCATTCTGTATTTTCTGATGGAGGCTTGTGTTGTGACAGATGTGTTGATATACAGTAGAGATACGTCGTGACACGGGTGTGCGAGAGAGGCCGAGAGAGTCACCGCAGGACTCGTGAGCGACTCTTTCCAGCAACCCCAGCACTTTCCAGCGGCACAACTCTCCCCCTCTTTTCACCTCTATCTCAACATCTGCTTATTTTTCATCTCTTACTCCTCACTGCCACCTTCCCACTCTCATCCTCTCTCAGTTCACCTGACCCCACTCTTCAGCCCACCGATCGACAGCGCTTCACTTCCTCCTTCGCTCGCTCAGCATCCTGCTCGGCTTCCTCAGACTTTTATCCTCCAAAAGCGACCGTCGCATAAATTCATAAATTCGCCCGATGAAACGACCTGTAACACACTCACGAGTTTAAAATGTATTGTATTGTAAATGCAATTGTGGCATGTCTGCTCTGACCTGCTCTGTTCTTGCTCTCTCGGGGTCAGGAAGTGGGCAAGGAGGGGGCGGAGGTGTGGGTGGGTACAGCGTAGAGAGGAGGTGACGGAGGGAGGAGAGAAGGAGGAGTGGAGAGTTCCCCCCCCACTTGTTATCAGTTTGTTCCTCCTCCTCGGCCGTCAAAGAGAAGCGGAGAGAGTGAGACAGAGAACGAGTGTGTGCATGTGTGAGAGAGGAAGAGGACCTCACTGAACGAGTGCACACATATTCATCAACATGACAAAGACCGGTCCTGTTGCATCCATGGATTATTCCCATATGTGGTTGCCAGGTATGTGTCCAGAGCATCTGTGTGGTTGCCAGGTTGGTCTCTCCTGAGTTTTATTGATGGATTCGTTAGAAATGCAGGGACATTTGTGGTCATCTGACCAAGAAGGTCAGCATGTAGAAACTGAAAGGAAGTGCTATGCAAAGTTACGCTATACAAGTCTGAAATTCCAAAATATATATATGTCTTGAATTTCAGAGTGTGTTTTTTCTAGAAATAGAGGCGTTTATGTTACAGTGCTTTGCGAATGGATTCAGATGCATTATCTGTGGTTATTTTATTTCAAAGCACTGAAACTTATTTTGCATAAATTGTTTTATTAAATATTTTTAGTTTTATTTCATTTGAATTATTATTAAAAAAAAAATTAAATTGTATTATAAATGTGACTGTGAAACATTTGGTATGCGTGGCTTCAGTGTTCAAATACTTTTTGGAGCCGTTGTGAATCTCTTTTTCTATATGTTCCCAGACTTCAGGCTTTTCGGGTAGTCAGATGCGCTGCAGTTTTCACACATTTGAATTTGAGTTGAAATCTGGGCCATTGTCAGACATTCACCTTCATGTTCTTCAGCCGCTCAGAGTTTAAGATCATTGTCCTGCTGAAAGTGAAGTTCAGCAGACAGAATACGATTTTTGTGCTGTATTTTTCTGCGTTTTGCCATTTATTTTTTCAATTTACTGAAAAAAGTGCCACAGCATGATGCTTCCACCACCCTCTTCACTGTGAGGATGGTGTTTTTTAAAGTGTGGCCAGTATTAAATTTGCACATCAAATATAACGTTTAGCTTTTGGCAGACCCAAGGTTTTCTTTTACGTTTTTTTTTTTTGGAGTAATGACATAGCTAATGAACTCTGTGGCTTTTCTCGCAAGTCTCTTGTTGCCACAATGAGGTTTAGTGGCCATTTTTATACTATGCAATCTAATGCTCTCATTGTAGCATTTGTAATTTAGTCAAATGTGAGAACTGGTCAATGATCTGATTTTTACTAAGCACTGCTTATTAACTGGTGTTCCTCTGATTTCTGTAATGCAATCCTCAGAATAATTTACATTTCTCTACATTCATTTCAAAGGCACAATTGTTAATACAAATATTTTAACACCAGATACACAAAAAAAATTGTTTTTCCTCTTCTGATAATCAGAGAGCCCTAGCTTTTAAGTGCTTTACATCAACTCCAATTTGTGGTATTATGTGCATAAAATCTTCAGGTTATTAGACTACCATTATGTATATCTATTTTTTTTTATTAAATTTTTTGCTGATCCATCAGGAAAATGAGCACTTTTCAGTACTGAAGAGTTGATGAAATCATATTTGTTGACTGGATGTGTGAGGGAACCTCTGGGAAACCCAGTGTGAAGTTCTTCATGGGGTTTCCCCTCTTCCTCCCAGATCCCAAACCGACACTTGACCTTATTTGCTTACAGTACAGGAACTCTTTCCTTTAATATTGAAGGGACTGGTATACTAGTGGACCACTATGAGTATAGCGTACTCTGTTAGTATAGTGTGTGTAAAACTATACACACTGTACTAAAACAGCTTATGAGAAGCCCTTAGAATGCTTCTTTGAGTCTTCACTTGCTGTGAAGTGTCTAGCAGGTTGGCTAGCTTGAAACCAGTATCATGTTCCTAAAGAAATCTTGCATTATCATTACTGATTATCTGACCTTTCAAACTGACCAGAAATCAGCAGTCAGAAGACGTAAGTGTCTACTGGAACTCAGATACCTTTATATTCTTAATTTGTAGCTAAATGCATACAGTGATGGAGATTTGAGATTGCCCCGATTATTGTCACAAGATAGCTGTTCTTCTTTGCATGTGGCATCTTCGTCTTTAAGTATAGTTGACAATCATGTAAAACACTATTAGCTTGGAAATGATTTCCAGTATGTGCAAGCAGTGTAAGCATATTTATTTCAGTTTTTATAATAAAATAGAGATCTTTGTAATACAGAAGTTATGAAATGGAGAAGTTTGGAAAATAGTAAGAAATAGATCTGTGTGTGTCAGATACTGTATATAGACTGTATATAATAGCGGCACTTACATTCGTGTGTGTGTGTGTGTGTGTGTGTGTGTGTGAGAGAGAGAGAGAGTATTAATAGCTGGCCCGACAGTAAGGGTTTGGTTTAACACGTTGTGTTTGCCCCAGCCTGAGGGGAAACAGAGAGGGAAGTGAGACATTAACACCAAAACCATCAGGCACTCTTTCATATTAACTTCATATGAATGATGAACTGCACATTCCCTTCATATACGACTAAATTTGAATTCTAGATCTGATTAATAAAAACTTGTGGTGAATGTTTATCAAATAAGCTATCTGCAAGGTGTCAAATAAGTTTGTGATGTTTCACTCAAATTACACTCAAATTAATCCGTGATTTAAAACATTTCTTTGACCTTTTTTGCTTTTTAAATGAACAATACATGCCTCTCTGAAGACCTCTATAGGCAGCTTAAAAGACCATTTATTTTTATCATTCATATGAACTATGAAACCCAATCTTACTAAATATAGTCAGAACTTGTGTGAGGCAATCTGAAAATATTCTCAAACTTTTACCCTGAGCTATCAGAGCACTATTTTACCAACAGGCCGTTCTGTGGAAACCCTGAACTCTACGGCCCGCTCCCTGACGGCCTCAAGTGGGGCTTTCCTTCCTTTTTACTTCCTTTCACCAACCACTGTGTCTGGACCACGGATTTGATTGCCTGAGGAAGTCGGCAATTCATCAGCTTTTTGGTGGCTTTTACACGAGTGACACAACTGATACAAGTGAAACTGGTTTCCTGTGTAACTTTCTCTGGGATTATTACAAAAAAAATTAAAAAAAATAAAGTTGTACTGCCCCCTGGAGGAGCCAGACATTAATTATCAGTATCTGATAAAAACCTCATTGATTCATGTAGTTGGCAGGAATGAAATATTGATGAAAGGAACTCTGAAAGAGTGAGAAATGAAGGATGAAATGTGAGTGTTGAGATAAAGAGGATCAGACGAGATAGTGGTATATGCAGGTGGGTGATATTATTAGTCAGTCGTTGGCTTTATTTGCATTTTTCACAAAAGGGAAGTGAGTGTTTCTGTGTGTGAGTGAGCATGTGTGTGTGTGTGTTTATGCACGTCTATTTGAGAGACAATATTTTTTTTTTTTGCTACAGAGTTTATACCTCTGATGCCGCTTAGCTCCTTTGAACAATGTGTATTGTAAAAAGTGCCATACAAATAAACTGAATTGGCTTGAATGCATCAGAAACATACACACATGTTCAGTTGTGTGTTCTGACTTAGAATATATGTATGTGAATCTACCTGCTTCAATGTAGACCAGAACTTCATAAAACTCTTTCAAAAAATGTTATTAGAATTCTTAGAAGATATATTTCACACACGTTAACTCTGCACACCCTGTTTCTCTCCGCTGAGGATCTGGGACAGTCCCATTGGGTCGGTTACAGTTAAATTTGAAGTGACACGTCTGTGGTGATGTATGTAATAGTTGTTTGTTGGATTAATCACGTCTCCACTTGTTTGAGAATGAAGGAATCTAAACCTGACGCTGCTCTATCATCAAAAAATGTTTTATTCCAAATATAACACTTGTGTTTGTTAAACTTCCATTCATCATCCTCAAAACATCATCACTCTTGTGTTAAACAGAAATCCATCAGCTCATGACTAATTTTATACCTCTCTGTCTTCTTTTCTCTTCAGATATCAGAATGTCAAAGCCAGTAGAGGTTGAGAATCCAGCGGCAGACTCTCCGATGGAGAGCACAGGTATAGAGCTACATTATATTTCTGTATGTCTGAAACAGGGCTCAACAAAAAGGTTTTTCTGCTCAGATATTTACTTGCCCTGATAACATCTTCACTGGCCTTATAACAAATATGATAAGTATTTTAAATGTGCAGCATATTTTTATATGTTACCAATATAAATACACATTTTTTAACAATATAAATAAATCTAATAATATATATACTCTTATAATGTTGTAACATTATATTGAATCAAAATTATACATGTATTTTGTTATGTTTGTAGCCAAGTCTTCTAATGTCAAACTAACTAACTTGAACAAACCAACTAACTTAAACTTACATTTACCAAATTAACTAATACGTTGCCTTCTCTTATTGTATTTCTCTTATTGTTTTCTCAGACTCAGAAAGAAATGGCTCAGATTCAAATAATCAGGTAAGTGACTGGTACCAGTGTTATCTTTTATTTGAATGCAGCATTAAAAAAATGAATAATATTTTCTATGTGTTTCCCTCCAACAGGTTCAGCTGATGAAAATCAACCCTTTCTCCCATTCACCCACACTGAGTAGCGGCAACAAAGTGAGTAAATGTGTGTGAATTACTGAGTGTTTTAAGTGAGTCTGCACAGATCTGCACATTTTCTTGTTTGTGGGTTATGGCCAATTTAAAACCGGTTCTGAAGACAATTTGATTAAAAGTTAGGGTAACCCTTTATTTTGATGGTCCCTTTTGACACTTCTGTTGACTATAAGTAACGCTGCATGTCCTACATGTCAACTAACTCTCATTATAATAGACTGTTTGCTCAATATCCGCTGAAACTTTATTTTGATGCTCCCCAACAGACATTCTACTGACTATAAGTAACTTTGCAAATACAAGTCAAACTTAGTCTAACCCTACTAGTCAACTAATACTCTACCAACACTCTAATGAGAGTTACTAGACATGTAGGACATGCAGCGTTACTTATAGTCAACAGAAGTGTCAAAATAAAGTGAAACCAAAGTTAGTTTTTACTGTTTTTTTTCCACCTCTTTTTATTATTTCACTATCCTCCCTTTGTCACCCTCATTTAAATACCCCCACTCCCTGTGTCTCTTTTAACCCATGAATTCATCATCAACATTTCTCTGTCTATGTCTCAGGCTAAGGTGGAGGATTGTGGTGAGATGTCTCCCGCTGCACCCGCTCAGACGGCCCTTTCCCACACACAGCTGATGCTAACGGGTGGCCAGCTCGCAGGGGTGAGACAAACACGCACTTACTTTTTACATGTGCTTCTTATGTGTGTCTGTGTGGGTTCCTGCGTGAGCTTGCTTGCCTTGCTTAACCTGTGCTTTCTTTCATCCACTTTTCTAACTCTTATTTTCACCACATTTTCCTTCTCTGCCGCTCTTTCTCTCTCTCTCTCTCTCTCTCTCTCTAGTTGACTGCACTTTTGCCTGCACAGCAACAGCTGCTCTTACAGCAGGCGCAGCTCCTCGCTGCAGCTGTGCAGCAGTCACATGTGGCCCACGCAGCCAATCAACAGCAGGCCCAGCAGCAGGCCAATCAGCAGGCAGCTCAGCCGCAGCCACATGGCCAATCGCAGAGCACACAAGAACAAACCGCCACCCCCGTCCCACCTCCTCCTCACCAGCTCCCTCTTTCTCAGCCAATCCAGCTCACTGCCCAGGTACAGCCAATCAGTGCTGAGCAGCACCTGAGGTGATACAAGGGACAAATTCACTAAACAGTCAAAATCCTGCATCTTATTTGCTTATTCTCAGTGAATTCCCTCCTCAGACCACCTCAGATCAGAGTGAAACCATCATGTCCTCTCAGCATCTGTTTCTTTTCTCTCTTTCAGGACATTCAGCAGTTGTTACAGCTGCAGCAGTTAGTCCTCGTTCCAGGACACACTCTGCCTTCACAGTTTCTTTTACCACAAACGCAGCACGGGCAGCAAGGTAGCTCATTTACTATTTGTATTCTCACGCTGTGCCCTAAATAAGTTTCCTATGTCAGGTCATTTGTCCCTCTTCACTTAAAGCTAGACTTGTTGCATGTCAGTTGTCATGATCCAGCTGGTTAAAACAAAACTTATTTTAATAAATTAATACATTTATTATTATCACTTTATTTTATAATATTTCAGGGCATGGTGATTGGATTAAAAAACTGTGGTTGTCAATCAGATTTCATTTATTAATAATGAAATTAATTAATATAATCATATGGTTGTGTATGTTTCAGGGCTGCTATCAACACCAAATCTAATTCCACTACCTCAGCAAAACCAAGGAAGCCTGCTGGCCGGTCCACCCAGACTTAGTCTTCAAGCACAGGTACATCATCTAATGAAAGACCCACATATTTGGGAGGTAAACATACACTCACCTAAAGGATTATTAGGAACACCTGTTCAATTTCTCATTAATGCAATTATCTAATCAACCAATCACATGGCAGTTGCTTCAATGCATTTAGGGGTGTGGTCCTGGTCAAGACAATCTCCTGAACTCCAAACTGAATGTCAGAATGGGAAAGAAAGGTGATTTAAAGGGGTCATATAATGGTACATGCACTTTTACAAGTTGATTGTACTGAAATGTGTGTTGGCAGTGCCTGTACTCAACCATCATAAAATGATAAAAATCCATCCAGTGTTTTTGTTTTAATCTCCTTATATGTTTTCCCCTGCCTCAAATTGAGCCGTTCGATTTTGTGACGTCACACGGTCGGAAGCCCCTCCCACAATTGTTGATTGACAGCATCGTTTCAACACAGACCCGCCCTCGCTCGTGAGCGAGCTGTCAATCATAGTCTGCGCGGACCGGCGCAGTCATTGTTGATATGCTGGAGCACTGTCTATGAGCAGAATGGCGTCTAAGCGATTGTGGTGTTCTGTTCTTGGGTTTAATAACGAACACAGCAGTCATTTTAATGTTCCTAAATCCGAACCGCTTAGACGCAGTGGCTGAGTTTGTTTTCGAAGGGAATATTCCCCACGAGCAACGTCAATGCTCTCATGTTTGCGTGAATCATTTCACACCAGACTGCTTTATAAACGAGGGTCAGTATGAGCTGGTTTTGCTAAGAAGCTGCTCATGAAAAAAGGATCGGTACCAGCTATTCGTGTTCCTGCTGAACCTCTAGAACAACTGAAGTGAGTGTAACGTTTTATTAAACTTTATATTAATATTTATATTAATCTTTGCAAATCGCTAGCTGCACGCTTCACAATAAATGCGTCTAAGGTTTACACTTAGGGTACATTACGGCATGTTTTCTATGTATGATGTTCTCAATATAATTCATAATCCCACGTTTATACTGAACAACGCGTTATGGTTATTGTGTTATTGTGTTACAAACGGTGTATGCACAGAACAGAGAGGCGGGGTGAGCAAAGCTCATTATCATTTAAAGTCATATGCACTGAAACGGCGTGCTGAAAACAGAGCTGTTTTTGACCAGGTAAAATAAGTGTTTTCTTACAATACTAATGAGAATTTTTAATTAAAGTATATTACAAACTTTTAATTTAGACCCTAAAGAATCATACTAGCTTGTACAAAAATGGCATTATATGACCCCTTTAAGCAATTTTGAGCGTGGCATGGTTGTTGGTGCCAGACGGGCCGGTCTGAGTATTTCACAATCTGCTCAGTTACTGGGATTTTCACGCACAACCATTTCTAGGGTTTACAAAGAATGGTGTGAAAAGGGAAAAACATCCAGTATGCGGCAGTCCTGTGGGCGAAAATGCCTTGTTGATGCTAGAGGTCAGAGGAGAATGGGCCTGATTCAAGCTGATAGAAGAGCAACTTTGACTGAAATAACCACTCGTTACAACCGAGGTATGCAGCAAAGCACTTGTGAAGCCACAACACGCACAACCTTGAGGCGGATGGGCTACAACAGCAGAAGACCCCACCGGGTACCACTCATCTCCACTACAAATAGGAAAAAGAGGCTACAATTTGCAAGAGCTCACCAAAATTGGACAGTTGAAGACTGGAAAAATGTTGCCTGGTCTGATGAGTCTCGATTTCTGTCGAGACATTCAGATGGTAGAGTCAGAATTTGGCGTAAACAGAATGAGAACATGGATCCATCATGCCTTGTTACCACTGTGCAGGCTGGTAGTGGTGGTGTAATGGTGTGGGGGATGTTTTCTTGGCAGACTTTAGGCCCCTTAGTGCCAATTGGGCATCGTCTAAATGCCACGGCCTACCTGAGCATTGTTTCTGACCATGTCTATCCCTTTATGGCCACCATGTACCCATCCTCTGATGGCTACTTCCAGCAGGATAATGGACCATGTCACAAAGCTCGAATCATTTCAAATTGGTTTCTTGAACATGGCAATGAGTTCACTGTACTAAAATGGCTCCCACAGTCACCACATCTCAACCCAATCGAGCATCTTTGGGATGTGGTGGAACGGGAGCTTCGTGCCCTGGATGTGCATCCTACAAATCTCCATCAACTGCAAGATGCTATCCTATCAATATGGGCCAACATTTCTAAAGAATGCTTTCAGCACCTTGTTGAATCAATGCCACGTAGAATTAAGGCAGTTCTGAAGGCGAAAGGGGGTCAAACACAGTATTAGTATGGTGTTCCTAATAATCCTTTAGGTGAGTGTATGTCAGAGGGCACATAAACAGGTTCCAAGGGGTATTTGCAAAGATATTTCAAGTTGTTACAAACCTGTATGAATTTCTTTATTCTGCATGTATAGGTAACAAACAGTTGACGATAACCATTGACTTCCATAGTATAGAAAAAAATATTAGTGCTTTTATTGACCCTTTACAAATATTATTGTTGTCAACAGAATAAAATAACTGATAAAGTAACTGTAAAAGAATTGTCATTATTTTTCAGTTCCTTTTTAAACAAGAAAAACACAAAAATGTCTGTAAACTTTGTAAATTTGTGTGGATTACAGTTGTCGTAAAATAAGCACTACTGTTCAAAAGATTGGGGACAGTAAGAGTTTAAAAATAATAATAATAACTTAATACTTTTATTCAGCCAGGATGCAATAACTGCAAAAGTGATGGTAAAGACTTTTACTGTTCTTTTGAACTTTCTATTCATCAAAGAATCCTGAAAACAAATAACAGCTCTACAAACATATTAAGCATACTTATAAATAGGTATTAATATTAAAGCTCCAGTCGGCAAGTCTGGCAGATTGAGTGGATTTAGGAAAATTTTGAATGTTTCATTGTATTTCTCACGCTGAAAAACTATTTGTAATATATTTAATATGCCGCAGCGCCCAAAACTCTGGCCGCGCCGCTCTCACTGTGGAACCGGCATGAATCAAGCGCGTTTCCTCTGGTGTTGTTCTTGTTCGTCGAGCTACACAATAGCCAATCAGAAAATAGCACTATTGTATCTGGGTAAGATTTAACGCAACAACCAATGACAAAAATGTATCCAACCCCCCGTCGGCTGGGTGTCACTCTTACCTGTCTTCAAAACTTGAGAGCCCTGGAACGCGCCCGTCTCATCAGCATCCATCAACACCATGGAGTATTTGGAGGTATGCTGTCCTGGCTATTCTACCGATAGATTGCAATTGCTAACGTCATTTATTCTCTAAATGAGCTTACTTGATTTTCCGCCATCACTCTTTGTTACTGCGCGAACTTCCGCGAACTTCAGGCGTGTGCATGTGATTGTAACGTGCGCGAGGGTTGGCGTGTGCCCGATCTGTGATTGACAGTCAGATCTCACACCCCCCTGCGCTGATTGGACATGATGAACCGGGAGCTGTGGATTTTTGCAAAACAAATAACAAGCTCCAGGTGGAGTTAGAAGCTCGGGTTTTTTCTAAAACCACTTTATTTATGTTGTTCTGTCAGATTATAGTGTCGATTTCACTGAATATGATCAAAAAAATGTTGCCGACGGCAGCTTTAACTATATATTACCTTGAATTCTGAAGGATCATGTGACTCTGAAGACTGGGGTAATGATGTTGAAACTTCAGCTTAATAAATAACATTTTAAAGTATATTAAAATAGTTATTTACATCGCACTAATATTTTACAATATTACTGTTTTTACTGCATTTTTGATCAAATAAACGCAGCCTTAAGGCCGTTGCACACTGAAGCCGCCTTTCCACTGCACACGACAAACGACAGCCGTTGGACCGGAAGTCATTCATTTCCAATGGAGAGTCGCACGGGAGCTGCGGGGAGTTCTGATCATATGAGTATGCGGAAAATTCGTATCCGATTTGAGCTTTGGATCCGTTGAAATATCTGAACTTCTGCGGCTAGACCAGGGGTCTCAAACTCAACTTAACTGGGGGCCGCTGGAGGTAGAGTCTGGGTCAGGCTGGGCCGCATCAAGTATTCCACAAAAAATAGTATTCAAGTATTCCAAAAAAGGAGCACAACTGATCCCAGTGTGCAAGGTTTCTGTGCGTGACAAATTTTTAGGCTGACGAACACGAAAAAACGCATACGAAAATTTCGGACTCAGTGTGCAATGGCCTTTAGTCAGCGTAAAGGATGTCTTTCATAAACCTTCTTACCCACCCCATACAAATATCTTACCAAACCCAAAACTTTGAACGGTGGTGTATGTGCACAATACTATGCTATTCTCTCATGTTTGAGTCTTGATGTTTGTCTGGTTTGTGGCAGAGAGAAAAGGTTGCAGAGAGCAGCGTGAACACAGTGACACAAGTGACCTCTCACCCTGAGGAGCCCAGTGACCTGGAGGAACTGGAGCAATTTGCCCGCACTTTCAAGCAGAGAAGGATCAAATTGGGCTTCACACAGGTACACACACATACAAACACACACACACACACACACACACACACACACACACACACAGAATATTTGTATTTCCTAGTAAAGTAAGGTTTGGTCTCTGTTTCCCTCTACAGGGTGATGTGGGAATGGCCATGGGGAAACTCTATGGGAATGATTTCAGTCAGACCACCATCTCTCGATTTGAGGCGCTCAATCTCAGCTTCAAGAACATGTGCAAACTCAAACCTCTGTTGGAGAAGTGGCTGAATGACGCAGGTAACCATCACAAAGAGCTCCATCAGATTTAACAGCTATCAATCTAATCATACACAAGTTTCTATCAGTCTCGAACGCATGTCCTGTACAATACAATAATACTACATATTAAGTGGCATTTTGGCTACTTTATAATTGAAAAATAGACTGTCAACCACAAAATGTTTTATGTAACATTTTGCAGTTGAATTAACAGTAAAATTTCAAATATCTTTTTGTTACTGGTTTACTCAGAAACAATGTCGATGGACTCCACCTTGCCGAGTCCCAGTGCTCTCTCCTCTCCCTCGCTGGGGTTTGAGGGCCTGCCTGGCCGCCGCAGGAAGAAACGCACCAGCATTGAGACCAACGTCCGCATCGCTCTGGAACGCAGCTTCATCACGGTCAGAACACGTGATTACAAAACCATTGCACAACATAAACTACCCTTCAAAAGTATGATTTTTTTTAAAGAAGTCTTGTATGCTCACCAAAGCAGTAGAAAATATAATAATTATTTATCTAAAATGTCATTTATTCTTGTGATGGCAAAGCTGAATTTTTAGCAGCCATTACTCCAGTCTTCAGTGTCACATGATCCTTCAGAAATCTTTTTTTAGTATTAATTTCTAAAATATATATATGTATGTATATATATATATATATAAAAAAAACACTGACCCCAAACTTTTTAAACGGTAGTGTATAACCAAATAATCATTCATATACTCTTTCGAAATGAATGTCCTCAAATAATCCCATCTGAAACCTCTGAATCAGTTGTGTTTTTTGCATTCAGAACCAGAAGCCTACCTCAGAGGAGATCCTGCTCATCTCAGAGAAGCTCAGCATGGAGAAGGAGGTGATCCGCGTCTGGTTCTGCAACCGCCGACAGAAAGAGAAACGTATTAACCCCTCCAGTGCCACCCCTCCCTTGCCCAGCCAACCCCAGCCCACCTCGCACAAACCCCCCTGCTACAGCCCGCACATGGTACGACCTGGCTTGCTCCCTTGGCTCATACCCCCATCTCAAATGACCCTGTGCCACAACACTCTACTAGTTTCTCCTGCATGAGCAGTTGATAATATTCATTCCCATAATGGCACATATACCATTCATTCCTGAATGTGGTTTCACCCGCCCTGCATTGCTTTGCGTTTTAATGTGGAATAATCGTAATCCATTCCTTCATAGCCAATTTATGCAACTAGTTCACTGTCATTGTTGTAATACTATAGGAGGATTGAACCTCTGTTACTTACACATGTTTTTGGAGGAATATTGCATGTATTCACTAACTTTGAAACTCAGTATTTTTCTCTGTAATTGAAGTTTTGTATAACTGAGTGAGTAGCATCTACAAACAGAGCACAGACCTTCCAGTGTTTGACACCGGCCTCTCTCCTTTTCCTCTTTTTCACCCTTCAATACTCTTTGTCCATCATGTTTCCCTTTTGACCTGTGACATCATATCCACATCTTCCTTACAGATGTCCAGTCAGGGACTATCCCAGACAGGGACCAGTCTCAGCACAGCAGGTAGGGTGCACAAGTGGACATCTGCTGATCATAGACAAATGTAATTGTTTAGTATATATATGATGGATGCTCTATCTATTATTTCCTTCTGTCAGTGACCACCATGTCATCAGTTTGCCCTTTGACCTCAAGCGGACCCACCTTAAGCTCCGCCTCATCACCTGTAACCCCGCCTTCACGTGGGGATGCCAGCCCCGCCCCTCCGACTCACAGTACGCTAAGTTTGAACACAGGGTGAGTTGATTTCTTTCTCATGTACACACACACTCTTACTCATCACCTTTTACTCCCTCTGGCTCAGCAAATATAGGTACCTGCAGTGTTTGTGTGTGTGCAAATGTATTTTTATGTGTGGTTTTGTTATCCGCAGTTCATGGCATAAAAAGAATGGTGACGTTTCTAACTACATCACTGACTTTGCTGCAAGTTTGAGGTGATTACAACCAGCAGAGTCTGTGTTCTTACACACACACACATATGAAATATTATACGTATACACATATGAAATATTATACATATACACATAAAATAAAATATTTATAAAATAAACACACATAGGTAAATTGGCTTTGTTTTTGATATTGACTTGACTATTTAGGACAACATACACACAGTGAGCACCATTGTTGTCACAATATCATGATTTTAGCAATTGATTGCAGTGAAATTCTCAATATTAATTTAATTTCCATTATTTTTCTTTATTTCCAAAGTTAAATATTAGATATCAAGATATTAAATACTTTATATTAATTATAATTAATATTATATAATTCTTTATAATTAATGATATTATAATTTATATAACATAATAATTATATATATATATATATATATATATATATATATATATATATATATATATATATATATTAGGGCTGTCAAATGATTAATCACGATTAATCACATCCAAAATAAAAGTTTTTTTTACATAATATATGTGGGTGCACTTTGTATAATTATTTTGTATATATATAAATACACACATATGCATGTATATTTAAGAAAAAAATATTATTTATATATAAAATATTTATATTTATATATAATATAAATTATATATAAATCTATATACAGTATATACATGAAAATATTTCTTAAATATATACAAGCATGTGTGTGTATTTATATATATAAAATAATTATACACAGTGCACCCACATATATTATGTAAAAAAAACTTTTATTTTGGATGTGATTAATCACGATTAATCATTTGACAGCCCTAATATATATATATATATATATATATATATACAAACTACTGTTAAAAAGTCTGGGGTTGCCAAGATTTTAAAAAATATATTAAAAACAGTTGTGCTGCATAATTTGTTTTATTTTTTGGAAACGTATACCGATTTTATTCAGTATTCTTTGATATATATAATGTTCAAGAGAACAGCATTTATTTGATAGAATATACATTTTGTAACAATGTAAAAATAGTATAGAAATTAAAAAAATCTTTACTTTCACTTTTGATCATTTGCTTAATAGAAGCATTAATTTCTTTTTAAAAAAAATTACTGACCCCAAACTTTTTAATAGTAGTGTTTATACGTAGGCCTTGCCTTGTTGTAAAGTAAACACTCCTTTATTTAAATAGTTATCAATTAAATAAAAAATATGAATAATAAATCATATATTTGTTTTAATACTATATTATTATATATATATATATATTTTTAATTTTAGTATCCACTCGTCTCAGTACACAAAGTGCTACAATGTTTTGCATATTTGTTCAGAGATTTTGCATATTTGTTCAAAAGATTTAGTAAAATCCCACTACATCTTAGTGTAAGGGTTGTTACGGACTGATGCGTCACTGAGTTCTGCTGGTATGTGACCTGCATTGTATTACAAGAAAAGCAATGTTTATTCTGCAAAGATTTGTCTTCTTGCACTGTTTTTCCAGCTCTTAACTATGCTTCGAAATGTTTTCTCTTTTTCCCTTCATTCCTTTCTGTTTTCCATTTCTTTCTGTGTGTTTTGTGGGATGGTTATTTGTTTGTGTGACTCAGGAATACGATGAGGAGCATTAACACAGGAATGAACCAAGCTCTTCTTGGCAGCAACCCACTTGCTACTATTCAAGGTTTGTGCGAAAGGGAGGGTGAGAGAGACTGATGACTTTACCACCTCATATCAGTCATGTGTTACTTTGTCCTCTCTGTTTGAGTGTTTGTTTACGTCTTACCACTCCTATTCTTCTTTGCTCACATTGTTCATCTGTTCACACGGCACTAGTGCATCCTGTTTAACATGTCACATATTATTGTTGTTGATGTTTGTGAGTAACACTGCGTCTCTTCCACAGCCCTAGCAGCCAGTGGTGGCCAGCTGCCCATTTCCAGTCTTGAAGGCAGCAGCAAGGTGTTAATTGGTGGTTCTGGGGCCCAAGGAGCAGGTCTTACCTCTTCCCTCTTCCTCAACCACTCCTCTTTGTTGTCCATGGCAACAGGCCCCGGCATGGGATTGGGCGGTTCAGCTGTTGGCAAAACCTCATTTCCTGTCGCAGGCGGCATGAGTCCCTCCCCTTGCTCGAGCCCCGTCTCTTCCTGCTCGTCCGGTGAATTGCTGCACAGCCCGCACTCGATCGGAGGGCCTAAAATTGAGTGATGTTGCCCAAGTCCAATCACAAACGGAGGAGAAGGAGGAGGTGAAACCTTACCTGTCAACCAAAGCATCTCTTGATCCCCTCGCTCCCTTTCGTTTCCTCTCGTTCGTACTCTCTTTCTTCCGCTCTCCCACTCTACTGATGCCAAAAATACACAAGAGTAGAAGAGGGGAGAGATGGAGAGACAGAGTTGAAGGAGGAAGGAAGAAGAGAAGAGGGAAAATGAAACCAAAAAAAACACCATGAGGCTTAGCGGGACACAGCCAAATACGTAAATTAAAGGAGAAGAAAAAACTATGTGAGTAGTGCAGTGAGACAAGAGGACAAAAAGAGATCCTTGAGCACCAAAAACAACAAAAAGTACAAACTTTACTGTGTTGTAGAACAACTCTTTGAAGAAAATGTGGAATACTGAATACCAAAAAGTATAAAGAAACTTTGAGAGACTCGCTATGACAAAGAAATACAAGCATACCAAAATCTCAAATACCAAAAACAAACACCAAAAAATACGGATGGAAAAGCTTTATCCAAAGGACCTGTAAATAGCCAACAGTCCAGGACCAGACCCAGTGACAACAAATCCAGCCATCTCTGAGCTCATCATCTCATTTTCCATGCAATCATACCGTTTTCTTTCACGGTTTCTATGATTCAATGTTTCAGCATAAAATATGAGCAAGTCAAGCTCAAACGCTCTTGCGTTTCTCTGGTTCTTCCTCGTTCTAGTCTATTGTTTTCACAGAAGTAGCAGATTTTCCATCTGTCTTTATGTTTCAGTACATTCAGTACATCAATGTTTTATTGTCATCATCATTACATGTCTTAACGAGCGTATAGAGAGAATTGGGTGTTTGGTCTTTGATGTTCATCATATTAGCACTGCATAGCTCGATACACTTGTTTGTCCAATGACATGAATGTCGTAAAGTGTAATAAAAGTGAGACCAAGCTCCTCTCTCTAGCTTTCACCGCTCTAAGTGTAAATACTCTCATTTCTCTCTTAATAATCAAGTGCTTGCATGCTTCCCTCACTCACTTTGTCCCTTTTGAATACCAAAGCGATTCATCTATTACATGATCAGTTCATCATTCACATGATGCAGAAAGAGATCGGGGACCCAAACCTTGACAAGGCCGCTCTGGTAAGACAGCATGGCGTGGGATCTGTCGCGGTGAAAGGGCTCCTATCCTCTCTGCTTCTTCTACAAGCCAAAAAATGAAGTGAAACTTCACAGCCAGCCAAACTTCCCAGAAAGGAAAAACACAAACAAACCAAGCCAAAAACGAATCGAGGTGCAAAACGAGTCACTGTACAGAAAAAAAACAGCATCCCTTCATGCATCTCTGGACCGAGGTCACCCAGAACCATGTAGCAAGGGATCTGGCTCCACCTCCTGTCATTCAGACTCTTTCTGGTCCTGGGTGGCGGGATCTTTGATGACCTCACTAGACTCATCTGAAGATGAAGATGTTTCGGGTTCGTTTGGGGGTTGGGAGGGTTGTTTCTTTCGTTCTGTCTGTCTGTTTTGTGGGGCTTTTCTCAGCTGTGTGTGTAGATTTGTGTGCTTTCATTTGGGAAAAAGGAATTCACGTATTTGCGGAAATCTCATTTTTTACTTTCCTTACTTGTTCCTATCTAGTTGTGTTAGAGACTCTAATCAGGTGGTTGAAACAAAACTGTGAAATCAGTTCAACAGACAAGAAACCAGGATAAACATGCTCAAGTACATCCAAAGAACCAAAGTCAAGTATAAACAAGCTTTAAAGAGAACCAAATATCCCATACACAACTATTCACATGCTCTCATCCACCTTACCGTTGTATTTATATCGTGCTGAAATCTGTAGTCGGTGAGCGCTGCAGGTTCAACAATGGATAGATACATGAACTCAGTTCTCTACGTTATTGTATAGTCCGAATGGGTCAGTTAGTGCTTCTCTAGATTTTGTAGTAAATGATCTATGTTATAATGCTTACTAATTGCTTATGTATGGAAGAAAACATTGTGAAAGGATAAAAAAATGTTGATATTTACTTAGACCAAAAATTCACACTATCTCTCTTTTGGGTTTTTCTGTTTTCTTCCTCCCCCGTTTGAAAGAAATTGATTTTGTTATTCATTCTCCTCTTGCTCGTTTGTGAATTTTCTTAACAGACCTTTTTTATTATTATTATTATTTATTTAATATATTCCAAATGCTGTTTTGTAGTGGGTGTGTTTGAGGCACCAGATTGTATTCAAATGTAAACTTCCTTAGCCAAGGCGACCTTTCAAACCAAATCCATCGACAAATGCAACCGTCGGTCCGAAGGGACCGGCCACTAATCGACAGCGTAGGGGCGGACACTTGTCTTCTCGACCTCTTAGCTGTTCCATACTGGACAGAGCCTGTGGAGGGAAACCTATCAGGGGAAAAAGCAGCACTGTGGTTCTTCTGCTCAAATGTTTCGGTAGTATTCATTCAATGCTGAAGTAACCTTCCAGAGTAAAAGCACGCACTGCCATGGCTCAGAAGGGATAAGGTTCTGTAGGAACCTGCATTGTGTATGAACGTACAGTACCTGTCTCACCACTGCTGATGTTACCGATCGTGTTGCTATGGTTACTGTCGTGATGGCTACGTGTGTGTGTGTGTGTGTGTGTGTGTGTGTGTGTGATGGCGTTGAGCGCAGTGCTGCCGTGAGCCTTGACCTGAAAGCTTTAAACAGCTACAAAACCAAAAACTTTAGGAGAGAAAAGATGGGGGCATTTGGGGTTCCTGGAGAGAAAATACAGCAAAATGTATGTATTGTATGATAGCGGAAATGTATCCGTGCTCCATCTTCGTCTCTGCCTCACTCCTCCTCTTTGTCCTACTTCTATTCCTGCTTTTTGTATTTATTTTATAGCGTGTCTGTTGTTCTGTTTCCTGGCTATGGGGGTGTAGAAGAGAGATAGTTCCTCATATACCTCACTCTCTTAACAACAAACCAAATAGATTAATGTTTTAAAACAGAGAAGCGTGCTCCATCCGTCTGTAGAGGCCGGGGACGCGTGTTCGGATTGGCCAGGGAATATTAATATTAAAGATCACCAGGGGCCAGTTGTATAAGCATAGACATTATGTTAAGACTGTGTCTTAAGTACTAGTATGACCAACTAGCAGTTACGTAGTTAGGGGTAATCAGTCTTACTGTTCGGTATCAAATTAGACCAATCTACGTTTTTATGTAACTGATTTAAAAAAGTTATGAACAGTCTTACAGAGAAAAATTTGATTACTAAAGGCCAATTTATGCATCTGCGTCGAGTGTATGTCGTAAGCCGTCATGAGCATTTATACTTCTGTTAACCCGGTGTTTCACATGGGGTCCCCGCCAAGACAGAAAGAAATAAAACGGCGGGACTTTTTTCCCGCCTGGGTCCCCACTCCCTGTGGCGAGTTTTTAACGGAGGCGAACGTAAAAAAGATGGAGTTCTTCCATCGTTTCATGCATTCCGCTACCTCCAAAACAACTTTGGAGGAAATCTCTCTCCACGAATTTGCTGCCATCTGGCAGTCTTATATTCGGCTGAAGATGAGTCATACAGATGCCTATATTTCCGCACCTCTTCAATGAATCGCTTGCTCACTTGGTCCATGTTTGCCATATTCTTCACTGAACTTAAAAATGGCGGCGCAGAAGAACACGACAGAAATGTGTAGGAGGGAATGCAATGCTACCAAGCCAACCAATCACAGAACTTGCGCTTTGCGTCGTGGCGATGTGTAGTTACATTTTTGGGGAGGTGCGCGTTAGGGTACAGTGTAGGGTAAACGACTATGCGTAGGCTACGCCGTACCTCCTGTGTAAACTCAACGCGGAAGTATAAATTGGGCTTAACTTGTAAAACTAGTCAGTTTATGCAACCAACTCCAGGGATGAAGATGAAAGCACTCAAATAACTTAATTATAAGATTGATGCTCTGCCATGTTCACTCCCTCGTCCCTTGGGACCACTTTTCCAGTCACCAAACAGGGCAGGACACATACACACACCTTTTTAATATATAGTACACACACTTAATGTGCATGTTTATGTATATAAGATAGGTGACTGATAGCGGGCGATGACTGTTGCTAGGTGACAAATAGTATGGCTTAAAACGCAGGAGATCTTGAAGAGGAATATAAGGAGAAACCTTTCAATCTTGCTTTATATTTTCTATAGCGTTCGTTCTTACCGTTAGTCAGGCGCAGTTAAAGACGTCTTAAAAACTTAAAGATGTTGATATGCAAGTAATAACCGCAGCGTAGGCTAAGGGACCGTGTTCAAAGTGTAAAAGTCTCTCAGTGGCGTGAATCTCCAGAGAATGATACCAAAGCAACAGGCCATTCGAGGTCCGAACACAACACACACGCTCCCTAAAGTCTGTACACAATCCTTGAGTTTGATTCGCATCGGTTTTAATTTTATTAATTAGTAACAATCGGATAAGGGTGAAAAAGAAAAAAAATCATAGCATTATTTGGAAAGGCCTGGCCAAGAGAACTGCAAGTCTGCGAGTCTTTTCCTTCTCACTTCACTCTCTGATGTATCTCTGTCTATATATTATACATTAAAAAATAAATTTAAAAAATACCAGCTTCAGTCCAAAGGTGTTTAAAAAGATTTTTTAAAATAGCAAATAACTTAAACACATCTAGTTAAACCAAAGAGCTTCACTAACACATCCTCAGCTGTTTTCTTTTGTCTCTTTCCCTGGTCACCTAGCAACCCAGTTTCTAAAGGTAAATCCTCAACTATCCAAAGTAACATACGATGAAGATAATGATGAAATGTATATTTTTAATTATTCATTATTTAGGGACAAATCTTCATGATGATAACGATGATCTTAAAGAAAAGACTGAGTATGTCTGTGATTCTTTTTTATTCTTTTTTGGGGTGTTAGTGATGTTGATCTGTCCCCTGAATCTTCTCTCTAATTTCATGTTCACTGCTCACTCTTCGAATGAGAGCGCGTGGGGGCGTCATACATGTTCATGTGCGTGTTCATTTTACAATCTAAAACGGAACAGATATGCGGTTATTTTGGCAGTGTGGATATGTGCGTGAACGTGTAGGCTACGTCTGTTTTGCTTGTATCTGATGTACGTTGCCATGTTTTTACCCTTTCCATCCTTAGTTTTTTTTTTTTTTTTTTTTTTCTCCTTTGAGTTGAGCAATTCCTTTTTCTTCTCTTCTGTCCTCCGTGTCTCTTTTCCTTCTTATGGTGAGGTAAGCCTTTCAGTGTAATTATCTCTGAAACCAAAAAATAGTTGACAAATAACTCGCTTGTTCATTGTACAGTGTTGTTCATTTAAAGTCATTTTTGTAACTGGAAGTGTTTCACTCATCTGAATAAAAACGGTAGAGAAAAGAAACAGTGCATGAAAATGTTGTCTTTTTCTTGTGAGTTCGTTTAATCGATGTGTGAAAACGATCTGTAGGCCTATGGTGCTGTCTGTCCCCCTTTGGCCGCTGGATGGCAGCAGCAGCCACAGACTCTTCTCATTCACACGAATGAATCATCCGTAGGAGCTCTGCCTCCACATGGTGCCTCAACTTAGTCACCTTCTCTTCCCCTTCCTTCTTTCACTCTCTCTAGATCTGTCAGTTTCTCTATTTCTCCCTCTTTTTCCACTTTTCACAGCTCTCATTTGCTCATCTGACTCATGGGACATCTGG